AACTTTTTTCTATGTATTTTTAAACTGGTACAACTTGTTCTGATGTATGTTCAGTACATACAATTCAATATTATTATTATTGAGTATCAAATAACAGAAGTTTGGCCTCCATAACACAATATCATTTGATACACTTGTGACATAACACTTACATAAATGATAACAAAACAAATAATTTATCAATGGAGATGAATGAATCACAAAAGCTAACCTAATTTCTAATATAATAAGTCTGATTATTGAATAAAACAGCTTCTGTAATGAAGAAATCTTCCATTGACGTCGTACGTATCCTCCTAGGTCCGTCGTAATTCACTAATACTAATCTAGTCTGAAATTATTAGGATGAACGTCCTTATCGCAGTATCTTAATAAATACAATTAATAGCAAACAAATGCCATTAACTTCAACGCAGTCTAGAAACCCGTTTTTTGATTTCTTAGGAAAATTCAAAACGCTCTCACTATACCATTTACCTGTACCGTGTTTAGGTACATTTGTTACACTAAGGCCTAAGAACATACCTACTGCTACCACCGAACACTATTCTAAACTCCATTAGAAGTAAAGTTACCGTAAACCCTAAGAAAAGTTTGGTCAACCCGGAAATCGAATCTAAAAACTCATGCACTACTGTCACACTAGTAACTAGTCAGCAAGACAGTCACAATAACCACAACATAATTATAAGTTATGTAGAGTAGCCTACTCACCAGTTTGGCAAACATTTTGTTATAATATGATGTCCCGGTGACTCCTGTGTTAAGTAAAACTCGTACTGTTCTCATTGTTACTCCTCCCTCAACATTTATAGGTGGCTCATGTCCTTGGACACTAAAACAATAACGGAAACCTATACTCACAAATGATTCTGTTGGGAATCAATGTAAATTATGAGCACAGACAAACGTACTAAGGACGCGGTCTACATCACCAAGTAGCCTCTTTGTTTATACAAAAGCTACCACACGCAAACTTAAAAGAATAAATTATGGGTCGTTTCATTTTTTATGGCCTTTATAACATACTGGGCACTGGGCATTTGTTACTTAAGGCTCTTAAGGTATGAAGCGATAATGGTCGGTCAATTTAAGGTTGTGTATTCAAAACCATCCTGTTATGGTCTGCGTACCTATCAGATGAAATAAGGTCTATAGGACTCTAAGACGACTATAAATGAGAATAGAGATGACTAACATCACATATTTCCATCATACCTAAATACCCACACGAATAATCAAGAACAGCAAGACATAAAGAATGATCAAAAATCAAAACGTAACCAATTCTCAGAATGTAATGCAATAAAAAATCACTCTGAAGCTGACAACTTAAGGTGTATACTGGATTGGTTAAGTTGTAACAAAATTATTGACACAGCCAGTCCATAATAACACTAAGAATTTTAAAAATGTTGCCTAACACTTCTAATCGTTCCTGCACACTCGGAAATGCAACCCTATACATCACACGCGCTAGTCGTGTTTCCGACCACTCAATCATTTACGGGTCATCGAACATCAAAGAAGGTACTATGAAATATGTCTATCTCATACATGAGACTTGACAATGGATACAAGATGTTTGAAGTTGTCATTTCTAAAGCGCTATTCGTTAAAAGTTAGATACAAATGAACAATACAGTTGCCTTAGAAGGCGAGTCAGGATGTGTTCGCTACAGATCTCGAAGATCATCGACCTCACCACGCTTGCTTTGTAATGACAGATTGTCAACCAAACAAAATAGATCATGTTCTGTAAATATCAAGGCCAATATTTTGTTAAACGTCGCAATAATGTGTAATTGTTATCAAGTTTGACTGCCTTCTTGATCGAATAGGCTCGACTGAGCAAGAGGTTCGATATCCGGGCCGGAAAAATATGATTGTTTTATTTTAGAGCTTGAAATCATGTTTGATTTATGACAGCACGATTGCTCATAATTACATGAAACTTCATACATATGTAGGTTACAGATAACAGTCAGAGATTAAATTTCATATGACTGTACACATCTTTCTACTTACATAAAATCCTAATCATCATTATCTTCATACGTTTACGTAAACAGAAGTTAAAGGTAACCTATTGGCATAAGAAGGTTTTAATGTACCATGTCTAATTGTCTATGTATTAACTAAGGAGTATAATGATATATTCAACGTCATGTAATAATTAAAATGTTTACAGAATAAACAGTTTACTTTATAACTTCTTAGAAAAGAGGCCAAGCTTGGAAAAGTTTTTAATTCAACAACAATTAAACTTAAAATGACCTGCAAACTTTACGACGAAACTTACTCGATACTTAGTGAAACTAGAAAGATTAAGAGCAATTTGATGACGTCACTATTTTATTATCTATAGTTTTTCAAAATGGTGGTGGTTCACACTGTTTAAATTTACTTGAGACATAATAAATTAAGTTTTGATTGATTAGTGGCTGGTCAAGTTAATATTGGTAACGTTACACAAGTTACACAATATTATATTATGCGTTCAATCATTATAACTCAGTGCAACGGCATTATAACTTACTCTTTACACTTTATGACCTTGCAAAGTGCATTCGCCTTTCTTTCATAGAATTTAAGTTAGTAATAACAGTATTGTGGACTGTAGTTATAATATTATACTCTATTAAATAATTGCTTGCTTCTTGCTCACACCCTTAACTCTTCTCTGCATCACCCAAAGGTCAGACTGGGAGAGAATGCCTGCGGCATTAAGTCCACCTTGTGTACATTTTGTGCATGAAGCTTTAAATAAATAAATAAATAAATAAATATTATATATGCTATCTTCGATTATGTAATCTTAATTTCTAATGGCCAGTTTCAATAACCTATCTATCTGTAGATATGCGTACTAGAGATAGATTTTTGACACATTTTATATGGAGCTTATATCAAAATTCTATCTCTAGTAAAAGAAACCTACAGATAGATAGTTAGTCGCGGAAAACCTAACGGGTAACCGGGGCTCCGGCTCGACGTGCAGGAGAAGGAACGGGTGGTTTTTAGTCAGTAAGAGTCTGACACTCCCTCCCGCCTCACCTAGGCGGGAGCAGTCATTCGATGATTTTCCCCCCTTAAAAAAAACAGGTAGGTAGGTTATTGAAACTGGCCATAAGTAGGTATGTGAACTATTTTTATCTACTAACATAAAGGTTATATATAAAAAAAAAATATTTTTTTTTCTTAAAGAGGAATACCAGTCGTTACTTGCCATTGTCTAATAAGTTTTTACCTCAAAATTAAGACAAGTAATGCCGTTGAAGCACCTCGGGGATCAAAAGGAAAGGTTATGATGTTTGACCTCAATTTGCTTGAAAATCTGCAACACTATGCCAACAAATGGATATTCCTAACAAGTTATGATACACCTTAGTTCCTGTATTATGTGTTTAGACAGAAACTAAACAAAGTATGTGTATGTTCAATATATTGATCTTATACATGCACGAGTAAGCTTTAACGATTGTAAGTTGTTAATTTATGTGCATAAACTTGGTAGATAATAATAATTGTCTTAATATATAAGTTTAGTACCTGGATGACCGAGGTTTGTCCTGTGTTAATTTTAGTAAAAAATGTTTTCCAAAAACAAAAACTGAAATAGAACAGAAGATGAAATAGAAAACAGAAAAGATAAAACCTGTCAGGCGTGACAGGCACCCGATTTCCCGACAAAGCTATTTAAACGTTATTGGTACCTAATGGAAAAAATTAGTTTCGTATTCTAATCATATTATAGCATGGATAAAACGACATTTTTTGAAAATGAAACCTAGTTAAATCAATTTATTTTAATTAATATAATTTCAAGAAAATCGATGAAGCCGTTTCCGAGATCGTTGATGTAACTATACAAGAATTGCTCGTTTAAAGGTGTTTATCATCTCTTTCGCTTTTCAGTGAACTTACAATGTTTAGTTGTGGATACCGTTTATAGGAAAATGAACTCTCAAGTATTTAGTGGAAGAAGGAAAACACTGAGGTTTTGTGAAATTCTTACAGCGGCATGCACGTGAAAAGTCATGATTGTGACTACTTAGCCCACATGTATTTTTTTTTGTCTGAGCTATACTTTGTATTAAGCTAAGATACACTGGTAAACTTATGACTATAGCCATACTGGCTACGCATATACATTACCGGTTTAGCATAACAATTATGTAATATGCGCATTATCTAACAGGTTTTAATGATACCGACAAAGATTATATATACCTAGGTACTTACTTTCATACTCTATAGTGTCAACAATAGTACTTTTACAATATATTGTCACAACGAAGAATGAACGTTTTACTTAACAACGAATACAAATGCAGGACTTCGTATATCTGTCTATAGTACAACAGGTATTCCTAAAACTGTTTAACATAAACATTGGTAACTAAAAAAACTTTTCTTTTGTCCTGTGATTGTTGCATTTTTTCATATCGTGTTGTGTGGTCTCCTACGTCATCTACCTACGTAAAGTCTATTTTTGTTTACAAACATGTGTTTGAAATCTTACGTCCTGTAACAAAATTTGATTATATCTTGTGGGCTGACAAAAATTGGGCCAAAGTTTTGTGAAACTTGAATGAACGTCCTCAAAACTAGGTTTCAACAAAATATCATCGATCATGTCACCTAATATGATGAATTATGCAAAACAAAATCGCCATACTTTATCTAATTGGCGCTCACAATAAAAACAGGTGCGGATAGAATCAACAGATTCCTCTTGGTAGATGCAAATTATTTTTTCCTTTATTTATTAACTGCATTGTATATTGATATTTCTTATTGTGTCCAATAAATAAGAGCACGTAATTACCTCTTTTACAAAGCTATAAGGGGCATTTCCAAAAAACAGACGAGACTGTAGTCAGAACTCCATAAATATAAAATTAGCACTATGTATGTATAACACCATCAGCATAAAACATCCTTACTATTATAAATGGGAAAGTGAGTTTGTTTGTTTGTTTGTTCCAACTTCACACCGTAACTACTAAACCGATTGCATTGAATTTTTGCAGACGTAAAGTTAGTAGTCTGGATTAAATAATAGGGTACTTTTTATCCCGAAAAAATTTGATATTCCTGAGGGAAAACAAAAGTATTGGTATAAATGGCGCTGTATGTATTGGTATATGTCACATAGACTACTTTTTATCCTTTTGTGACGCGAGCGAAGCCGCGGGTAAAAGCTAGTATTTTAATATAATTAATAACTCGTGGACAGTGGTAAACAAAATGTCAGGTGTTAGGAAGTACCCAAAATGTAACCTTGAACTTAAAATACAATGGACCACGCACTTAATGTGACGACGTAACGCGCTTAGGAGCCCATTGTGACCACGACCAGCTGAGATCATAAGGACAATATTGTTCTGCAAGCATGAGACATTGCTCATCATTAGAATGAGGCTTTATTTGGATGTGTCCAATTGATATCACCATACTTATGTTCTACTTGTCTAGTTATGTAATTGTTATTGTTGTGTTTGTGTTCGGGTATGTGGACTTATGTATACGCATTATGCCTAGAGCTAATGAAAGAAATTGGGCTTATATTTGGTAACGAGATTTTCAAAAATGTACATGGTTAGTTAGTTTTGGAGCTCATTGCACACAAATATTTAATCGAAAGATGATGAAAACATAATAGGACATAAAATTCCTCAAAAGAGAATCAATTCACAAAATGTTAAAGGTCTGATTTTTTATTTTCTGAAAAATTCAGACAATATCAACGTAACTACTTAAGTCCTTCTAGAATCGTACTAGATACTCCCTGCAAAGTTTAACAAGGCAAA